GACAGGAAGACTAGATTAGTTTGCGAAGCTATAATCACAGTAAAATGTAACATATATTTGAAATGTATTTGAAATTTGAAATAACAGATGCAATAAAGTTGAAATGAACTCAAATTATATACAACCAATGATTTAAAAACCATATGTTCTTTTCTTTTTCTTCTCCTACAAATATAAACATTTATGATCACTGCCACATTAAATAAAGGTGGCTAATCACAAAATGGTAACCGAAAGCAGGTAATGATAATGTGATGTTGCACTTACTGGTCAGCAATAAAGGAAAAACTCTGGTCATTGGGAAGGCCAGCAACGCAGAGTTTGCGGAGTGAACCCGAGCTTCTTAAAACCAGCATTTGAAGCATTCGTGCAATGGTCTCCGGCGTCCGAAATTTACTCCATTCCATAATGTCTACCTCCTGCCAGCAGTAAGGCCCGGCCACTGTTCTTCCCCATGACTTGCAGACCCTTGGGATTACAGTGAGCTTCTCTTGGAGTGGTAGTTTCCTAAATATGAGCCCAAGAGCATCAGGTATAAGCTCGTCCCAACTCCGGAACTCATTCTCCTCCTCCATTTAATTTCCTTCTTGCAAGAAAGAAAGCTACTTTGAAAAACTCACAAAAAAACCAAATCTCTATATGCATAAAAAAGAACAAATTCGCACACACTGATGAAAGATCTGCTAAGATTAGACATACCCAGCATCAAAAGACTCAGAAAAAATGTGTTTTTTCACAACCCATCACCACATGACATATAGAATAGACCAAATAAGAAACCAAGAAAATCCCAAAAGGCAAGTACCAATTGCATGAATGCGTGAGGATCAATTACAAAAGATACAATTCATTAAACAATTAGGCCTAAAATTGAAAAAAAAAATTCAATCAATCAATCAGGCGAAATAGAAATGGGACAAAAAATAAATAGAATAGAAGATTACCTGTTATGGGATTTCTTGGATCTGCAAAGGCGCCAGTTTATCTTTCTGTGAGGACTGAGATTAAGGTCTTGTGTATGAGTGCCAGCGATAGAGAGAGAGAGAGAGGGTGGGGGGGTGGATTTAGGGCCAGATTGAATAATGAAGCAGAGGTGGAGCTTTATCGAGTGTTTGATAAAAACAAAAAGAAAGAAGAAAAAGGAGGAGAAGGACGCTTACCAGAAAAAAGGAGTGAGGGTGAGACGAAACGAGAAGAAAGAAGACGTGAAACAGAAGTTAATCATTGATACCCCACCTTTTTCTTTTCTTGTTTAAATACCCCTTAATTTTTTCAGACCAAAAAAAAAATACCCCTTAATTTCGATTTCGAACCCAGTAGAAAAGGGCACCTCTCTCCCTTAATTTCGATTTGCCATTTGCCATAGCAGGGGCCTAGGACAGCTACTATTCATGTAAATAGTTGCTGTTCTTGTAAAAAGTTGTGGTGTTTCCACCAATTGTCATGACAATAACTATTCACATGAGATATGAGGAGAGAAATTTGTATAGAGTTTTGGTGTGGGAAGTGAAAACTACAACTAAGTATTTATTTTTAAAAAAATCTGAAATTTTTTGTAGATTTTTTTATAAATTTTTTTGTTGCTGACGTCAGCAAACTCGGGCTGGAACTAAGGCAAATCTTGTCCGAGGGCTAGCCTGGGTTCGTGGGCCTCATCTCCTGCCAGGGTTAGCCCTTGCTGCTGGAAATAGTTTTAGGCCTAACCACCCCCCAACCCTTGTTGCTGGAACTGCTTTTATATTTCAGACTATCACTTATACTAAAATATATATATATATATATATATATATATTAGACGTGTTTCTTAAATCTACTGTTTTATCCTTTTGGCATTGCCAAAGATATTGCATAATTTATCAACCCCTATGTTAGTGTGGTGTGGTTGAGTTTACTTACAAAATTTAATAGTTAGCTCAATTTGAGTTTTAAAAACAATAATTTTGGAATGTAGTTGGATGTACTTACAAATAAAAAAACAGTTATCGATTAGAGTTTTAAAGGGTTGATTTTTTTAATATAAAAAAAATTCGTATGCAATAAAAGGGACTTGTAGTTCAAGTTGTTAATAATATTTACTTGAGTATCCGAGAATTTTTTGTTCCATTTTTCCTCTCTTCAATATCACTTGTATATTTAAAAAAAAAAAAATTCATATGCAATAAAGTGATCTCGGAGTAGTTTCCTCTTGGCCAAGCAAACCATTATAAGTGACGTTGTTTTACCTAACATAGTTGGTACACCCAGCCCCAAGGTCTCCTCACATGGCTTGCTCTAGGCCTTAAACTACCACCCTCTCTCTTCATGACACTTGTCCTTGTACCAAAACTTCGTCAATCTACACCATTCATATTAGGTCAAATTGGACAAATGGTCTCTCTACTTTTAGAATTGTTTGTCCTTGTAATTTTGTTCCGTTTTCACTTAGTCCAATCCGTCAACTAAGGTAATTTTTTTCCATACAGTTTTAGGCAAAAAGTCAGTTTTGTTCTCTGTAATTTGTCAATTTTTCCACCTTGGTCTGTGTCGTTTTAATTATGGCAATTTGACCTTTATAATTTGATATCTTTGCAATTCAAGGACACATCCCAAATTATATCAAATTTCTTCAAATTTGTCCAAAATGCCCCAACACATTGACACTTACTTATTTTGTCACAAAATTGGACAGAAATTTGGTAGTGTCCTTGAATTACAGGGATATCAAACTACAAGGGTGAAATTGCTAGAATTGAAACTATATGGACTGAAGTGGAAAATCAGGCAAACTACAAGAAAAAAAATTCCTTTCCAAGGACCAAAATTGATGTTTCCCCCTAGTTTTATGCACATCTTCTCATTTGAAAACCTTAAGTTTGATTTGTTTGTTTTTGCTTAACATTAGCTTTGGCGTTTTTGAAAAATATTATTTTGGAATTCTAAATCGATTTATAATTTTGATTTTCATGCTCATATGATGTAGTGTTGACCTTCTAGAATTTCTTAGGGTTTGATATTAAAAATTTGAGAATTGTTTGATTCAAGGTTTTAAAATTAAATTTAAAGTTATCATGAATGTTGCTTTCGCCATTTGTAAGTAAAACCCATGAATAAAAACAAGTTATTTAGAAAGATTTGAAGAGTTCTAGAGAAAGGGAAAGAAAAAAAACCATTCTTGACTGCTTCCTATGTTGAAATAGAAACTTTTGAAATTTGATTTCTCTGACTATATTTATCAATCCTTAAAAATATTTTATTATTTGAAAGTTATTGTTACAAGTTGTGAGTATCCTCCAGATATGGGCATAGCCAAGTTAGTTAGAGGGAATGTACTCCTCAGTTTGCATCCAAGTTCAAATCTCTCTCTCCGTAGTTTAGATTAGATTCAAGTAGAATATCGCTTCTATAAAAAGTAAAATAAAATTGTGAAGTACCCCCACTGGGGCAATTAAACAAAAGTCTTTCAACAAAAGTCAAACTAAAACCAAGAAGCCTGGTTTAGTTTCTTCACTGTGCACGTTTCCTTTTTCTTTCTTTTTTCTGCCTAGTCCAAAACGCTCGTTTTGGCCAGGAAATTTTAAAAACGAATAGGCACAGCTTGCTGCACAGTGTTGCACAACAAACATAAAGCCTCTTTGAGGCAATACATCAAGCACATGGTGGGCACACTAGCGGAGCTGCGGAGGGCATATTTCTTCATCTATAATGAATTTTCTGACAATGAAAGGTGTAGCTATACCTCCTTGCACCTCTGTAGATCCACTAGTGAGTACTCCTATAATTTTGTACGCTGAAATATAGTTTTTCGGACTCAAAGGTAAACTTGGCCATCATGTGTTTGACATGGAAAGTCTAAATTATGTTCAACTTGAAAGCCATCGCCTCATTTGTAAGATTGGACTAGTTAGTGGTAACAAAATGAAACTATAATGATGAAAATGCAAAAAATAAAACTATAAGGCCAATTACTTCAATTTGGCCTTCATATCGTGCTCATGCCATGTTACCAAGTGTCTACACTTTTGTGTTGCAGTACTCATATCTTCCTTATAGACACAATGGTATATACACCTGGATGTAGGTAAGATGTACTTTCATTAAAAGATTTTTGGCTAACACTACACCACTATACCTTTCTTTCACATAATCCTTCTTTTGTATAGAATTTTTTGACATAAAAGTCATGTTTGGTCACTTCAAAGTAAAGAGAAACTTATATTAATACTATAGTTTAAAGTATAAACTCATTGTCCATTTATATTATAACTCTGTTTAAATTTAGTTTTTTTGTACATGGGCCTAAAAGAATGGGCGCCCTTCAAAAACGGCGGCAATTGAAGAAAGGAGCAATTTGAGCCTGAAAAATACTTCCAGGATCACACTCAGGGACGGACCCAGGAATATGAACTCGTAGGGTCATAGTGTAAAAATTCAATTTTTTTTTAAAGATTAAAATAACATTGAAAATGAAACAATGGTACATTTATTCATAATTCATGTTAAAAACAACATTACAAATTACAATTGGCCACGACGAGGTTTCATATTTTTGAAAACGTAGCATTATAGCTTCATTTTCAATACAATAAAAAACATCATTCTCAATGTAAACAAGTAAGCTATCACTCAACCATTGATTTCCCATTTTGTTCTGAAGTGGACCTTTGATAATATTCATGAAGGAAAATGCCCTCTCGACTGAAGCAGTAGCAACCGGTAAAACTAGAACCAATGTAATAAGCAATTACACATAATTGAATGCCCGATGCATCCTTGTCTCCACCATTTTTTTTGCAAGATCACAAATCCCTTGCAAGTTAGAGAAATCACTACTCGAACACACATAATGAATATAAAGCTCAAGTTGATCTTCAAGTGCCAAAAGATCCCTATCCGAAAAGTCTTGAGGATAAAATTGAGCAAGACGAAGTAGCTTTTGTTTATCAAAAGCTACAAATGAATCATTCGAACTCGAACATGCCAAACAAATAAGCAACTCAGTGTTTACCTCATTAATTCATCATCTAACTCCATAAGTTGCTCATCAATGACATATATAAAGAGTCCACACGATAATGATGACGATTTGTCTTTATTGGAGCATTATGCATTGACCTCCCTGGAATTACGAATGCCTCATCCATGTTAGGAACATCAATATGATGTTTGTCACAAAATGAAGACACCTCTTCAACTAATGCATCAAACCCATTATTCCTCATCCAATGTAGTTTTTCCTTGCATGATTTCACCAAAGCCATTGCATTAATAATTTCTTGATCTTTCTTTTGCAATGCTTGTGACACATCATTTGTGAGTCCCAATATAGCTTTCATTAAGAATAAGTGAAACACAAACTGAAAAGTAAGCATTTCCCTTTGAATCTTATTTGCTTCACCGGCACTATCATTGGGATTATCATCAATAATCATTTGAAACACATGAATCACAGATGAAAACATAGAAATGATGCTAATAATGGTACCATAATGTGAGCTCCATCGTGTGTCATCGGCACGTTTGAGACTTGTTTCTTGATGCAAACCTCCCCCCGTTATAAGACAATCATTTTCAAAAGCTATCACAAGTTCTTCTTGGAGTTGTGCTCTAAGTGCATCACGCCGCTTACAAGATGCTTCAACATGGTTAACCACATTATTAGTGGTTGTGAAGAAAGAGGCAATATTAATATTCTTCTTTGCTACGGCAACAAGTGCTAATTGAAGTTGATGAGCAAAGCAATGAACATAGTATGCACAAGGTTGTTCTCTCAAAATCTTTGTTTTAAGGCCATTCAACTCACCTCTCATATTGCTAGCTCCATCATAACATTGTCCTCGTAACTTGGAAAAACTCAAACCATTGGAAGAAAAGAATATGTCAATGGCATCATTCAGTGAAGTTGAAGCGATGTCGATAACAGGTTGAACCCCCACAAACCTTTCAATTACATGCCCTTTGTCGTCCACATAACGCAACACCATAGCCATTTGCTCTTTCACAGAAATATCACGTGCTTTATCCACCAATATAGAAAAGAATCTATCTTTTAAACCACTCATGATAACATCAAGTGTTTCCCCCGCACATGCATTGACAATATTTTTTTGAATCTTTGGAGCTACTAACTTGAGATTCCCCAGAGCATTTTCCAACACAACTTCTTTAACTTTCTCATCATTGTCTGCAAGGAATTGCAATAGCTCCAAGTAATTTCTCCTATTGCTTGAAGTGACACTTTCATCATTTCCACGAAAAGAAAGACCTTGTCTCAATAGAAAATTAGTGCACTTGATTGATGCAATTAAGCATCTTCGATATGCCACACGAGCTTGTTCGGAGTGTTTGCTCACAACCATTTCAATATGTGTATTTTGATTCATCAAATTTGTAGCAGTTTCTCTAGCTTTATTATGAACATTACCAACCGGTCCAACATGCACCTTCATTCTTTCTCTCCCTTTCTTCCAATTCTTAAACTCTGCTCCAGTGAAGGCTTCACTATCCACTTGTTCAAAATTGGATTTAAAGAGATAGCAATAAAGACAAAATGCAGCATCTTTAGATACACTATACTCCAACCAATCAAATTCATCAAACTATTGCGGAATGAAGTGGCGTTTAATTCCTGAGATATTACTTTGTGGGAAAGAATGACCTCTAGGTTGACAAGGTCCTTTTTGTAGATATGCTCTTCGAACCTCATCTTTAATATTAGTATCATACTCAATCATACGAATTCTTAGTCCCGAGTCTGCTTGAAGATTAGCCAAAACCTCATCTAACTCACTTCGTCTTGAACTTGAAGTTCTTGAACTACCCACACTATCCGAACTACCCAATGATGACTTTCTCTTAAAAAATCTTTCCATAATTCTACATAAGTTAATCAAAATAATAACTAAAATCAATTAAAGAGAACACCAAATTTATACCAATTAACCATAACAAATTCATAAATGAAACAGCCAATAAATCAAAACAATATAATACGATCATAAATTCAATTTCAATTCAAGTAATTTAGGTTTAGAGTTAGAATTTACCTTGAATTGTGAGGTGGTGAAAGCGGAGGCAAGCTTTTGGAAGCGGCGGTGCTACTGGCAGTGGCGGCAATAGAGGAGTTAGGACTTAAAGCTTGGTGGGAAGAGGTTTAAAGGTTCGTGGGTGGGTGGAGATTGGGGATTTAGGTTTAGGAAATTGGGGTTTTGGAATTTTGAGAAGGGTCTGTTTTGTTTGGTAGAAGAGAAGGGTCTGTTTCAACAACAATTTGTTATTATTATTATTTTTTTCAAAGACCTGGACCAAAATGACGTCGTTTTGGCCAGGTTTTTTTTTAAAAAAATTCGCTGGGTTCAAAACGACTCCGTTTTGGTGCCAGCGCATTTAAAAAAAAATTTCGTTGGGTTCAAAACGACGCCGTTTTGGATCCAGCGCATTTTTAAAAAAATTCGCTGGGCTGGTCCAAAACGACGCCGTTTCGGCCAGCCTGGTTTTAAAAAAAAATTAGAAGCTGACCCTAAACGACGCCGTTTTGGTCAGCTTCTTCTTCCTCAGATTTGCAGCTCCTCCTTCAGCCATTCATGGGGTCACACACAGGTTCAAAGAGACCTTCTACCTTACGTTCATGGAGTCCACAGTGTCCATCCCTGATCACACTAGGGGCTTAGAAAAATTGCAGAGCTTGAACTCTTCAAGTAAAGAGAGGATTAATTTGCCCCACCGAAGGAGCAAAATCGAGGGAAGCTGCTTACTTAGTGCTTGCATTTCATAAGGGAAGAGCTTGACCACAAGAACGGACCAAAGAATTATTTGCCTCATCGAGGGAGCAAACAACAAGGGTCAAAGGCTTACTTGCCTCATTGAGAGAGCAAGATTTAGAGGCTGACCGAGGATCACATTTTCCACCACCCATTTTGACCAATCACAAGTGAAAGCATATGGAGGAAGCCACAAAGCTAATTGGACGCGTGTCAAAGCACATCCAAGATTGTTGTCTCAGCCAGAGAAATACAAAGTCTATAACTAGAAGCAAAGTTGAAGAAACAAGAGTCCAACACCAATTAGGGGTGGGCATTTAAACTGGGAAACCGGAAAACCGAGCAGAATCGAACCGAAAAAAATCGGAAAAAACTGAGTTGACAAAAAACTGGGTTGAGTTGACCAAAAACTGAACCGGACCGATTCTGACCGGTTCCAATTCCGATTTGACATCTCTAAAAACTGGACCGGGCCGAACCGGACCGGAATTAGATATAAAAATAAAAAAATGAATATATTTTGGTGGCCCAACTACTAATCCATGATTTTTCTCACTTCCCAAGCCCAACTACCAACATCTAACCTTACCCAAGCCCAACAACCAAAGCCTATCAACGAACAGCTAACCCTAAAGCCACTTTTTCTTTTCTTTCCTTCCTCTCTCCCTCATCTTTACTTCTCGCCGCCGCTTCTCTCTTTTATTTTGTCTCTTTCTTATTCCATTTCTCTCTTTCTTCTCTCTCTCCTCTCTCTCTTTATTCTTCCTCTTTCTGCGGGTTGTCTTTCAGTTAATCTCTATCTCATGGTTTCAGTTGGATCAGATTAGATCTATACCAATTCATGGAGACTGCCGTGGTAAACAAGGAAGAGATCGGGTAAAATCTTTTTAAAATTTATTTTTTATTTTCTGGGGTATGTCTCTGTGTAAGTAACAGTTGTAGGCCTAAAAATGTTTCTCTCAAGTTGTTGTGGGTTTTAATCCCTCTCTTGCCATTAATTAATTTCTTAGAGGTCTATTGAATATATGATTTCAAAATAATTTATGTTTGACTTGCATAAATTTTCTAAACAAATATTATGAACAGCAAGGTGAATTCTCCTCCTAATTTTCCTTGTGTAATATTGTTATTGATAATCACGATCTCATACTTATGATGCACTGTTGATCCTAATGGACTTCTTGCCATCTTGTTATGTTCTTTGCATTATTGCTCTTGAATTTGAGACTGAGGTGGTTTTTCACCAAGAATTCATCAAAGGTCAAATCTGATGTTATAAAATCGAATGTTGTAATTTTAAATTTTCACCAAGAATTCTCTTTTTCTGCATGCAGGGGCTAGGAGAGGATCTTAATAGAGAAGGTTTGAAGAAGATGCCTCTTCATGTTGCCAAGGGGAAGGGACAAAGGCAAGATGGAGCATTTTTTGGCTCTTGTTTTCACTGGAAGATGGAATAGTTTGAATGTTTTGTAATTTTATTTGTAATTATATTTGATATATGTGTTTTTGTTTTGTTATTAGGTTGTAATTTTAAATTTAATGTTTGCTAGATTTTGTTTGGGATGATTGGATGGGAATTGGGCTAATTGTGAATTTGTAAGCCCAAAAGTTTTTAAAAATTCAGTTGGGCTTAAATTTCTGAAAATTCAAGAAAAAAAAAAAATTGGGCTCAAGATCCGGTCTAAACTAGAAAACCGGAAATCGAACCGGATATAAACCGGTCCGGGTTGGTCCGATTTTCTAAGGCATTTTAATGAAAAATCGGACCGAACCGAACCAGATGAACAGTGCCGATTTCGATTTCGGGTTTAAGGGAGAGCCGGACCGAACCGGACCGTGCCCACTCCTAACACCAATCAAACAAATCAAGCCCAACGACTACTCAAATGCACCCTTTTATCATGTAGTTCATAGTTTTTAATGTTTTTCCCTAGAAATTAATGTAACTTTTGTTAAAAGGGACTCAGAAAGGTTTTGAGTTCTTGGGCATTCATCATTTCAATAATTCATTTCTCATATCAACAAGATTTTCTTTGTTTGTCGTTTACAAAGTCATGAGAGCACCATCCAATTCATCCAAATTCCAAAAGATACCCATATTTTTAAGTTGTCTGAAACCATTGAGCTAGCGAGCCCACTGCCACCACTAAGCTACCGAGCTCGGTGAGGCTATTCAACCACACGCTCATTCCAAAGGTCTTGTAGTCGAGGCCTAAAACCTTACAGTTGAGAATCTATTCCTATCTAAGTGCATCCACCACTCACTCGGTTGTGGTGGTCCTGATACGTTGTGCAGATCCACACCAAGAAGGATGTTTTTTTTTATTACTTAGCCTGATTGGCCCACTAGATTATTTTATTCTAAGATAATTAACACATGGCCCAATAGATTCGAAGGTCAACAAACATGAGAATTTAATATATCGTTCCAACTTAGGTAAACATTGTGAGCATGGTGGTGGATCATTTAGGTGACAGTTCTAGGTTCATCTCTTGCCAAAGTCATTTCTGTTGAAGGATATGAGTCCCATATCGGAAACTTGACTAAATAAAATACAAAATATAACTAATGGTTATATTACTAATAATACCGAGAACTTTTGTGATAAAACATCATATCTAATGAGCTTTGTAGGTGGTTAAGTTAGGGACAATATCGTTGTTGTTAGTGGTGGGCCGCAAGCCCGTCTTTCTGAAATTTAACATGGTATCAGAGCGGGTTGATTGGCTGGGCCTGAATTGGGCCTATACCCTTACCCAATATTTCACATGTTGGGCTTGAATGTTTACCCTTACCATTTACCCAATACGTGGTGCTCACATGTTGAGGTTGAATAATTGACTCCAATGTGGACTTGGCTCCACGTATGGCCCACTATATGGTGGTCCCACATGAGGGGGTGTGTTGAAGGTTATGAGTCCCACATCGAAAACTTGACTAGATAAAATACAAAATATAATGAATGGTTCTACTACTAATAATACCGATGCCTTTTGTGATAAAATCTCACACCTAATGGGCTTTGTAGGTGGTTAAGTTGAGGACAATATCGGTGTTATTAGTAGTTGGCCGCAAACCTGTAACAACCCAATCCTTTATTAATAATTAATTATTAATTTATTATGAGAAAAGACAATTTTGCCCCTATAATAAATTATTAGAGAGCATGTTGACTTTTTGACCGGGAAAAAGTTTGGAAATTCCGATTGTACCGTTGCGTAGAGCACATCGAGATGAGTCCGTAGACACGTAGTGGGCTCAAATCTGAGTTGGAAGAGCAAGTCCAGCAACTTAGGCTGGACTCGGGCTAAGGGGTTTGGGTGAAAAAGGCGTTTCCAGCAACAAAAGGTAGCCCGGGCAGGAGGTGGGGGCCACCAGACTGGGTTGGCCCGAGGTAGAGTTTGGCCCGAGCGCGAGCCCGAGGGCAAGGCTGACGTCAACGTGCTGACGTCACGTCCACTTCAGCCCTGCGTCCAAATTTTTTTAAATCGTCCACGTGGCGTGCACTGGGCTCTCCGATCATATTTTTTTTTCCAACAATCCAACGGTAGCTAATTTTTGTACAATAAAGAAATTGAAATTTTTTAAAAAAAAATACCAAAAAAATTACTTATTATTATTTTTTTCTCTATAACTTATTTCCATTTTCAACATTTAAGTAAATGTCTTTGTTCTTTTACTTTCATTTATTTTTATATTACTCCATTTACTTAAATTTACAATGTAAATAAGGAAGTACCCCCATTTGGATTCAAATAAAAATACTAGAAAATCAAATTCCCACCAAATCAAAATATGAAAAATCGGTTTTAGTGCAAAATACAATTTAGGCTAAAAATGATGGCTCATTGAGTTAATATATACTTCATATTAAAATCTCATAAAATCAAGTTTTCGTATTTGATGTGTAAGAAATAAAAGCCGCCAAAAAATTATCTTGAGAAAATTATTATTCCGAAAAACCATTTCCATCTTCTGGGTTCGCCAGTGTCTATAAATACCAACCAATACTCTTCACTTTTAACACCAAATCCTCATACCTTTTTTTTTCTCTATAAATTCCAACCAATACAACTAATAAAATAAAATCTTATCCGAAAATATTATCCGATATGAATAGTATTGACACGTAGGAACCCAAAAATCTTATCCAAATTAATTTTTTAAGTAAAAAAAGATGTAAAAAAACAAAAAAATGAATAGTATTTGCCACGGCAAAGGGCAACTGCTGGAAACACACTTTGCTAAGGGGGCTAGGGCAGCCACTATTCACGTGAATAGTAGCTGCCCGCAAACTGCTGGAAATGCTCTAACGAGAGAGATACGATCAAAATTCAAATAGGGGAAAAATCGTAATTTTATCAAAACTGGTTTTTAAAAACACCATAATTTCTCTTTCTTTCCCCCCTGCGTGCAGAAACAGCCCCTTCTTACTCCACCATCTTCTCCACTGGCCACCAAACTTCGTGATATTGGTACCAAAACGTCAAGCTCACTTTCCTCTTTCCATCCCGACCAATCTCAATTGCCGGAACCACCTGTGCTGGCCGAAAAATACCAAAAACCGACAGAGCTCATTCGGAAGCCTCCGACCACAATTTTCGTCGATCCAAGTATGCTTTCTCAACCTCTCAAGATGTTATAGCTTTTGGTTGGGTAGGATTTGAAAAATTTCTAGCGTTAATGGTTCGATTTTGGGTTCAAAGTTTTGCCAGTTTTGGGATCTCAATTTCGGCCACTTACGGCCATTTTTCGGGGTAGGTTCAAGAAGAATAGTGGTTCCAAATAGTGTGTTTTACCTAAGTTAGGAGTTTGGGCCAGCGGTTTGGAGTATCTCCTGCTGCCGAAAATTAATCAAGCCACCCACGCGATGCTAGCGCATTTGGCAGCGCGTGGGCAGCATAACGAAGTTACTTTCAGATCCTAAAATGATCTCTTGGTCCTCACGAGTGTGTAGGAATTCACGGATATTAATTCTAACATAATTTGAACCCCGAACAGATCTCGCATATTGTGCGATTTTCGGGTTCAATACATTTGAACCGTTGGATTGTAGTCAATTTCATATATGTTGGTCTAGACAATTCCAAGATCAGGTAAGATTCGGTAGATCGTAAATCGAAGCCCTAGATACTCCAGAAATATCAACCCTAGGGCTAGGTTTATAGTAACCATACGATTGTGCGATCGTGATTAATCCAACCGTCCGATCGAGGCCAAACTTTCGGGACATATGTCCTAGGCATGTTAGAACCTCTAGGAACTCTCGGATCGGAATTTTGAGGTTGTGGACCCCATGTGTCCCGGGTTGACTTTTTGGGAAATTTATCGCTTATGGGGTCTTCGGTCTTCTTAGACCGTTCCAATCATCCGAAAGGTTTAAATGGGCATAGGATTGGTCCTAAGACTCATTCATGTACTCTATTACGGATTTATATGATTTGGAATACAATATTTTATGGAATTGATATGAAAACATGTGTGAGTGTTCATTGGTTAGTAATGACATTAATTTCATGGATTAGATTACCATATCACTTATTATGAAATTATATAACTATGGAGTGAGTATATGATTGTATACATATGGATGGCTAAATTATATATATATATATATATTTTTATGTTATTTTGTATTTGGAGGTGTATTATTGTATGTGATGGTAAACCTAAAGGATATTTTCGATGATTGGAGATTATGTAATATTGAGAATTGATTTGTAGAAAGTTGAGTAGAGAATATAAGCAAGGTTTGTGAAACAAGAGGAACTTCGAAATAAGTTTTAGAATATGGTTTTCAAACCCACCTCAGGAGTACCCCCTAGTTGCCTTTGGAAACGGATTTGTCATTTATGACAATGCCCCATGAGTTTCGGGGACCCTTGAACCGTGTGGTGCGAGGACTGTGGCTCAGGCTGACTAATGGTCATCTGAGGCCTGCGAAGACGCGGCTCGGTTAACTTTATGTTTCTGAGACCTGCTAGGATGGAATTGACGGACTAACATTGGAATTGACGGATTATTATTGGACTTGATGGTATTAACGGAATTGACGGTATTAATGGAATTGACGGATCAAGAATGGGGGTATGCCTAGGTGGAGAGGATTTAGATTTGAAGATGCTTTTAAACTAAATTGAGGATTTTATACGGTTACCATTATTTTCTTAAGCGTCACATTTGTTTTACAAGTGATAGATGGAAACATACATATAGATTCTAATTAAGTTGTTGATATATATGTATATATTTTTTATGAACCGTACATAAGTTTCGATACAAGGATATAAGGGTCTTTGGAGCTTATAAATCTTTAACTTATTTTGTTTTATTTTATTTTATTTTATTTTAGTATGTTAATTTATCTTTATCTTTTATTATTTTATATAGTATTAAATAGCTTAAGGTTTTCTAGCATATTTTGCCCCACGGGTCATAGAGATGTCCGGACCGTGTGGAGCAAGGATTACAGGGCAGGACGTGTCACCAATGGTGTCACGAGGAATTAATAGTTATTGGTTTCCAAGAGTGATTTCTTGAATCTAAATGCTTCATTCCTTCATTTAATTATATATATATTGTCTTATGAGTAATGCCAGAAAGCTTGGAACAAGAAGCTGAGATGGAAGATGAGAACTACATGTGGCTTGATCCCTTACTAAGGGTACGTAGGCAACCTAGGGTTCTAGGTGCAGCCACGAGGTCAAGTAATAAAAGGTAGTACAGTTAAGTTATTATGAAATCTAACACTGTTCTGGAGAGGTTATAAGAAATTGAATTGAATGCGGCTAATAGAATGATTTATTCGATTTATTGAGGCATGAGGCCAAAATAATATGATGCTTGATTTTTGGATATAATTCGGTACATGCTGGCAGTTGGGTTATATATAAATATATATGCTTGTTTTAC